CAGCACTGGGTTGTATTTAACCCAGCATTTTTTAGAGTGTATGAATAATTTATTCATACATTTATTACATTCATAGATCACTAGCAAATATTTTGTAACAATACAGTACACATTTTTCTTGTTTGTATGTGCATGTTTTGTGTTTCGCTTTTTAGTGATTCAGACTTCACATACATGCATATTCATCTTCATATTCAGAATTAAATATTTAATTTACATATTTTACACATAATTGTAAATGTTTGGCAGCATAACTGTTGAAATATATAGTATTTGTTTGAAGTCCAGCGCGCACACACACACACACACACACACACACACACACAATTAAACATGGACTGCATGGAAGAATTTGTTCCTGGGTTTGTTCTTTCATTTGTCTTTGAAAATATTTGTCAACAAAATGTCATCTGTCTAATTTTTAAGCTAACTATTCATGACATTTGGGTCATGAAATCACCGTATTTCTCGGTTGGAAACTCGGGGTCCCCGCTTTGAGATGAAATTATTTCCTGAGCAAAGTTTTGCACATAATCCTGCCATATATGTCAGATGATAGAAGTGGGGAAGGCTTTTCACGGTGACCCTTGGCGGGAGCCCTATGTCTCTGTTGCCCTTCTGTGGCTGCTTCCACCTGCTATACATGAAACTTATGAGCCAGCTGTGGATATATAGGCCTATATGCGCTTTGCTAAAAAAACGCATTTGTTATAAATATGTGTCTTATATTGTTTTATAGACAGGTGGCCATATTTGTTTATTATTATGTTTAGTAGGAACTGGAATTGTTAAGGGTTGGATATTGTATGAATGTAGTGAAAGCGCAGAATTATTCCGTTCAAATGGATGTTTACAGGCCCGAAATGCGCACATTGCATTGCACCTATATATTGCATGTTGATGTCGAGAAGCGGGAATCTTGAGATCTGCTTTCGATCATTTTGTTGCAGTGCATTTCAAACTGGACAGTCGTTTTATTTCAGCCTGCGTTATTCTCTTACCTGCACAAAGCTAAAATGGAGGTTGCAGAGAATCGGCGGTGTGAGGATGAGCTGCTTTGCAGTTGTAGCTCCTCTGGACGCAGACTTGCTCCAGGCTGCTTTTCTTTCGGATTGTTGCACGACCGTGAACAGATACATCTGTACTGCTTAACCGCACAGACAGTGAACATGGTCCGTTCCTGGATTTTTAAATGCGTATTTGAATGAGCTTCTGCTGTTTTCTTTAAGCTTATGCATTTATTGAGCAACATACATTACTGTATATCTGATTGTGTGTGCGTATTGCTTTTAAGAGCTCGTATTGTTCTGATATCGATACAAATAAATAAATAAATAATTTTGCAAACAAAATACCGAAGTATATTTTGGATAAAAGTACTAATTGATAAGATTGTCGGTGGTGCACACACACACACACACACACACACACACACACACACACACACGGACGCACGCAGGTGTTTTATGATACACTGATATTATTCGATTAACACATTCACACATTCGGGTTTTTCTCGGTATTTTTAAAGGGTTATAATCAAATAGTATTTTTAAAT